ACAAAAGCTACGATTGCCAGAATTTCGGTCCCAACACACACGTAGCTGACAGCGATTGCCAGCTGCGGTTGACAGATGGTCCTCCTCACTGCGAATAAACACACACACACCTGCGTTTGCCTTGCAAATGGCACTCCTGCTTGCAGGCTGTGCGACAACCTGTCCCCATACTGTAGCTACACACGGCGGCAAGGCGAGGTCTATACATATCCAGTATGTTGCCGTTATCCTGCCGTTTCTGGGTTTGAAGATGTATCGTGTTTTTGAAAAGTAGTTTTTGTCATGAATTTATGTAATGAGTGTGGTGGCCGAGTATTAATGTCGTTAGAGCATCTGACTCACTATTCGTAAGTCAATTGGTAAGGGCAGAAGGGTGGTGACGCAAGTGGGAACAATTGTGCCTCGCGGCGAAGAAAGGCCTGGGTTTGATTCCCAACTTGGGGCATGTTTTCTCGTGTCAAGTTTGTATGTTCTCCCCCCTGTTCTGCACTAGTTTCCTCCGGGTTCCTCCAATTTCCTCCCATAGCTAACAACAACAACAAAAAACCGCTACAATGGAACCGGTATTGGCCGAACATACCAATGCGGAAAGAAAAATACCTTAAAATTACTCAATCAGGATTACACGCAGCAGCAGCGGCAGCATCGCCCCCTCCTGCACAAACCTGGCAAGGGGCCCTCCTGAAAAAGAGTCTTGAGACTCGGTGAGGCTTTCCCGAGTAAACGGGCGTCATGTTAAAACCGAGTTGTAAGTTCAAATCAGTTAGCGGTTGACTCAGCCCATCATACCTCTGGGGCAGATTAAATCAAGTACTGTACTGCATTGTGGGAAATCAAGAAATCAACACTGCTGTGTTCACGTTAAGGCATGATTTATGTATACGAGGAATACAATATTGTTTTGGGAGCTATTGTATGTCTAATTTCCACAAAGTATTTCACCGTGTGTATTTTAAAATCCACTTCATCAATCATCATTTGCGTTTTGGATAGATGGATACAATTTTCACAGGAATATTTTTTTTTACATTTTCCAACATTTCGGGTAAACAAAAGAAAGAAAATATTCCTACTGGACCAACAAGGCAATATGATTATGTATGCGGTGCTTATTTTGCACTGTACATAGCCAACCAACCATGCTAATTGGAGGTTAATCGGAGGTATAACTGCAATTTAACCATGCTCGAACAGTGCATAGAAAATGCGGCTATGTCCCTTACAAACGTTGAAAACCAGGGTCTCCCTAATGTAACTGTGATTAAGTGCCGTCTGTTCATCACATAGCCGACCACAGGCCTGATAAAATACAAAAAAAATAGTTGAGTTTATAGTTCTAACCGGAGAGAGTCGAGGTGGTTCATTGGCCAGGCAGCTCATCAGCTATGGCGCTACATCCCGCTGCTGTCCCTGCACTTCAATTCCGCCTCTCAAGCGAAGCGAGCCGCCTCTCAGCACCATGTGGCGGTGCAAATTTAGTTTTTTTCGCTTTGCACCTTCCAGCCTCGCAATTACATTACAAATGTGTCACTTGGCGGCAATGTCCACAGGATGAGGAATATTCCATTCGAAAGACTCTCGCAGAGAGTATAACTGGAAAATTATGTCACGTAAAATTATCCAAACTGGAGGCTCACCTCTGATGAGGCCTCCAGAATTTGGTCGCTCGCCAAACCAACATGACATTTGTAGTTCTTTGAGCTAATTAACAATATTGGCACGAGAGAGCAGGAAATTGGAAACAAATGACGAAAAGTACAGTGAACGCCTACTGGCTATCTGCCCATGGATTGTGATGACGATGATGATGACAGCTTAAATATTCAGGACTGAGTGAAATACACAACTTACAGTCATGACCTTGTTGTGAAATTTCTGGTGACCGAGCCGAGACCATCAACCAACTAAAGCTCTGATCCTAGTTTAACCACGGGCAGCTCATCTCTGGATACAAACCGACAACCTTCGAGCGGCTCTACTCCCTGACTCGGTATCCGCCGCCGGGGCCACCCCAAGGGTGTGGATTTAGTCGACCCTGAAGTCAAACACCGTGACGCCCACTCCACTGTTCCCTCGTCGCGATGCTCCTGGCCGGGCGAGCACTGCGACAATGGAATACGTAAAAACGAGCCACACCGTCTCGAAGAGCCAGACTTGGCGCCGACCCGTGGGTGACAGCCCAGAAATGCCGACGGCTGTTTGACACGTGGTTTAGCCTGACCTGACCCTCTCACTGCGAGTGCTGATAGCTCAATTGGTGGCTTTGTGACTTGGCAGAGAGAAAACAAAGCTGATAAGAGAAGTGTCTGCACACTCAACGGGGTAAATATTGCCACGTGGCACAAAGATCGCCCGTTTAGACTTTAGCGGCGGGTGTGTTGTTAGCAAGCGCCTATCAATGCTGTCACAGCACAAAAACGACTGGCGTTTGTAGGCAAGATTGCAGCCATTGGCTCCACAGTGCTGACGATTATACCTGGGATAACGCACTAATTTAAAGCCAAATCGACAACCTCAGAAAACACTCACGGGGTTGATGTTGAACTTAGGTCACTGGGAGCGCAGGGCAGTGCATGAACCACCATCCTACTGCTCCTCAAAGAGAAAGATCCCCTGTATAGCCTTAACAGACTGTTGGCCACGTGCCGATAGTGAACACCTCTGAAGGCCTGCACGGCGCACGAAGGGGTGGGTGGCCAGCACAACGCCTTTGTCTTCCTAGTGGCACTGTTTATACACTGCACCAGGTACTCATTTGAGGCCAAGCCGACCTAGGGGAGGCCCAGGACCGGTTCAGATAATCGTAACTGATGTTGGCCATGAGCGGCAATCGAACTTGGGTCGCTGGGTTCGTAGCGCAGCGTGTGCGAACCGCTACACCACTGCTCCGCACTGCTCTCCACGTGCTCACACACACACACACACAGGGATGCTGGGATAAGTGCTGTTAGCGAGCACCTGACTCAAATATACAGTGTGGTCAGCATGATGGAAATCTGGCTGCCTTTCCTCTTAGTGACCTATGGAATCAGGCACCCATTTTTAACTCATGTGAGCTAGGGGGGCTCATAGCCAGGTTGGATTAACCATGCTGGTATTAGGCCTGGCCAGAAATCATTCTCAGGTTTCAGAGGTCACAGTGTGATAATTAAACTAAAACTCAACTTTTTTATTTTATTTCACCAGGTAAGGCTGACTGAGCTATGTAGCTCTTTTTCAGATAGCTCAACGAACTAGCTTATCATGCGGAAAAATAGAACAGCCAAATACTCTGAATGCACGTTTATTATAAACTTGGAGGGGAAAACCAGAGGACGCAGAGAAAAATCCACGCGGCCACAGGGAGAGAGACATGCAAACTCCTACTATACAGGTGTCAGGGTCGTGATCGAACCCACGGCCTCCTGTATACCAAGCGAAGTAGTTAACATCTCAAAACAGATGGACCGGGATTCGAACCCAGCAAGCATCTCACTGGTGCTGGCTCAATGCTATGACCAAGTGCATTGGGGCCCTCTAAGTCACCTGGCTGCTGCCGAGGCCAATCTGCAGGTGAATCGTGGCTGCCTTAAAAAACAAAGTCTGTCCCCTTCCATAGCAATGGGGAATTTTCACCTCCTTGCTCACAGCCATCAACAGAAATGAGTGACAACCCGTGTTTGTCTGACGAGGGAGAAATTTTACTTTTTGACGTAAGGTAAGTCTGAACTGAAGTCAACGGTGTGTGTGGTTTGTCCGATTGCAGACCGGTCCTCTAAATCACATGAATATGGAATTTCACCACTGGCTCAGAACCGCCATTGGAGATCAGCATGACTCCCCACTTATTTGTGAATGAAGCTACATTTGCTACATGCCTGCACTCATAGTGGTTGCAAGCTAAGAAGGGTTGAGCCTGGACAGCACTTGGATAGGAGACCGCTGAGTAATACCAGGTGTCCATACTCTTTGGTTCGTTCGGTAAAGTCCCGTAGGTATAAAAATAAAATAAATCACGACGTTAAAATAAATTAAATCACGACGTTTCGGGCGCAACACAAGCGTCCGTCATCAGGTGGAAAAGCACGGCCTGCTGCTGATGCAGACTGTTTTAAAACAGTCTGCATCAGCAGCAGGCCATGCAGCAGGCCATGCTTGTGTTGCGCCCGAAACGTCGTGATTTATTTTATTTTATACCTACGTGACTTTACCGAAAGAACCAAAGAGTATGGATTCGTGCAGTCATGAAAGCTTCAAATCAAGATTAATACCAAGTTCTCTCGGATTCAGGCTGCAAGCTGGCCATGTACGTATGCTGAACTTCTTTCGCACGGTATGTAGCCAACCAAGCGAATCGGGGTTGCTTGTGTGCTGGGTGTTTCTCATGGGTTACTCCTTGCTCTCCTCCCACATACCAAAACGCGAATGAATGGAATTGGCCCAAAATCCCAATTGCAAAGCTACCTCGAGGATTTACTGAGTAATGGAATCATCATCATCATCATCAAAATCGTCAGTATTATTAGAGTCTAGTAGGTTATAGCAGGTGCCAGGAAGAAAATGGGAAGTTCGAATGCCATGCGCATAACGGAAGAACATTCACACACGCACACATCCAGGCATGCAGGTGGGCAGCCACATACACACGTTCACACACACATATAAAAACAAAGACAAAGATCCCCCGTATAGGTTTGAACACTTGGTGAAAGTGCTGTTAGTGAACACGTATGAAGACTGGCATGGCACATGAGAGGGTGGGTGGTCAGCACTACGCCCGGCCAGATTTGTTTTCACACCGGACCAGGTACTCATTTGAGGCCGAGTCGGACCTAGGGGAGGCCCAGGACTGGTTCAGACAATCGTCACTGGCGTTGGCCGTGAGCGGGAATCGAACTCGGGTCGCCGGGTTCGCAGTGCAGCGTGCTAAACACGACACTGCTACTCCCCAGACACACACACGCGCACAACCCGCTGAGACACGCAGGCAGTCAGGGACACACAGACACACATGCACGCACCAGCCATAGCAGAAGATGGCCAGGTAAATTCCCAGGAAGGTGGCCACCGAGTGGCGGACTGCAGGGCTGGCATGGCTGGGGTGCAGGTAGAGCCGGAACCAGCACGCGGCGAGCAGCGCGAGCAGAAGGCATGCCACGAAGTTCACCTGCGCGCGCCGGTCAACAGCAACGGGAAGGTTTCAAGCAAACGCGCAAAGACCAAGAGAATCCCTCGTCAACATGAGCGCAGCGCGGGTCGGAGCGGCACGGCCACTCGGGGCGGCGGCGGCTTCTTTCGCAGGGCCTGCACCGCCACGCAGCAGTTTGGCAGTCTCGTCGAAGGCTCGTTGGTCAACGAGCATTGGATCGTTGGCCAACGAGCCCCCTACGAAGTACTGGAGAAGTATCAATCCACCGATTAAAATGTAGAGTTTGGTTTATAAGCATTAATTTACGCCGTGCACTTATTACACAATGACGGTTACAAGACCCGACAAGAATGTTTTATTTCAACAGTAAGCCTGAGACCGATTCATTAAATAATTATTACGCCCGTTTTGCCTTACAAGGGTTTCACCGCCGCCTCCGTTTGGCACACGACAGGCAAATTCAAACACTCCCTTAGGCACGAGAGCCCAGAGTTTAATTGCTTTGGGCTATGCGAGATGGCACAATGTTGACTTAGACCGTTACACAACATTTCATAATCAGGTTTGAGTTAAAAGCCTGTTCTGCACTACTTGATCCACGCGGCCACTCATTTACCACCTCGTACATGACATCAGAGACCCTGCGGATTCACCGGCCCCTGCCATGGGAATGTGGAATTGCATCTACATTACTATCGCGGACATGAGCACCATTATATTTTTCACACAAGAGGCCGGGTGGCATTACGGTTACAACCCTGTAACTGCGAGTTCCAAATCCTGCTCACTCGACCCATCATCCCATCTGGGTCGATAGTGGAAGGTAAAGCACCAGTGGTCACAGCATGTGGAGAGACCGACACCCCCACCGCCATGGAAATGTGGAATTCTGACAACTGGCTCTGGTTTACCGATGCCTGCGAGCGCCGACCCACACTCATTCGAGCAGGGAGACGCTTTGACTTCGTGGTGCACAACGAGGAAGAGCAGAGGTGACGATCCGGTGGGAACCACGAGCAACGGATCGGCTGCAGGAACGGGGAAACGGCAAGTTGACGCTACGCCAGGCTGCAAAACCGCACGCTCCATGCATTTGGGGTCAATGAGGAATTTGCCCTCCGATGCTTCCAAATCGAAGTGATTTGCTTCTAATATGAGCATTGAAGTGGCGCTCACCCCTCCTGTTTGCGACCCTGCGCCAGTGATAGAAATACTGCAAGTTCAAGTTGAGTGGGTGCCGGGATTTCAACCCGGGTTTGGCCAGATTCAGGGGCAGCCGTGCAATCCGCTGCGGCAAGAGGACTTGTCGCAATGGCGGGACCTTGCGGCTGGTTTCAACTCATTTGAAGCGACCGCCTAAAGGGCCCAGACAGAGTGACTTCAGGGTGTGCCCTTCGCCAGTGCACTGAATCCAGACCTCAGCCACCTGAGAGTAAAATGGGTTCTTCAGCCACGCGAGCTGCCAGTCTCAGCCCGATCATTAACGGCTTCAAGAAAGAAAATAAACACCCAACATTAAAAAAAAATTTTTTTATCTCATCTGGTTATTTTTGTAATCAATGTGCAGCTTAGTACGGTCGTACAGTAATTGATAAGTGGGCTGACACCCTCAAACTCATTGCGCACAAGAACATTGTGTAATCAGAGAAGGCTGCCGGGGGAAATGAACCCAACATCTCAGCAGCGCCGACAGAGGGCTGACACGGCCATCATGAACTTCTCGAAACACCCACCCAACTCCCAACCACCTGTGTCATTTTTTTGCTTTTTTTTTATCTATAGCGGGTGTAAAATTTCGGATTACGTGACCTACGTGAAGGGTAACTTTCATCAGCAAACATTTACTCGGCTGCATTAATGCGTCACTCTTTAAGCATTAAATCATCGAGTTGCCTACTTCAGTACTTGGCAAATGTTGTGACAACAGTTCATCATAACCGCGCAAGGGGTTAATCATTAAGCATGTCAGCAAGTATTGACCGCCTGCGTATATGTTTACATTCTCTTGATCCCCACGTATGTTCAGCCAATATACTTTACACTCGCCATGCAGGGCACGAGCGCCTGTTCAATGCACATGCACGTCGCATGCTCGCACCATTTGCTGCGTTTGTGACCGCTGCAGAGGTGCGCAACGACACTAGTTTCTCACGTCAGATGAAAATTCTTATCAAGCCGAGGCGGCAGTGTGCGGTCAGAATTCGCAATCGCAGGGTTTACAAGTTCAAATCCTGGTCACGGGTCCACTCGGCACCATCACCCGCTGGGACTGATGTAAGAAAATTAAAAAAACCTTTACAGCTGATTTGTGTGAAAAGTCAACAACAGAGGTCATCCCAAGGACAGCCGAAACCCTCCATGGGAAGGTGGAATTTCCGCCGCTGGATCGGGGGGTGTGAGTGAGGGGCCCGCTAACAGAAACGACGTCCGTACACAGCGGCAGGAAGACGGTTCCCGCTTTAGTTTTTTTTGTAAACGCACGGCACTGTACGTGCATCCGATGGGTGCAGGAGCCTTCGCCGCGTTAAAGTGGCTGCACGGTCGCACGCACGCACGCTCACGCTGGATCCTTTGCCCCCCCCTCCTCCCTTTGCATTATTCATCGCTCGAGGTCATCCCGATCTCGGTTGGGTTGACGATTCCCGCATCCGGGCGCTTAGCAACCAAGCCCACGTCTCGTCTGTCCTTGGGAGGGCCGGAGAGGATATTTGCTTCTGACGATGCCAGGGGCGAGACGCGCCTCGTACAGTGCGCGGTTGGAGCGATAAGCCGGCGGGGGCCCCGGGGCTCGCAGCCTCGAGCAGGGGGCACCGCGGACTGATGAGGCCACGGCGCCGGGCGGAAGAGGGGGGAGAGGCTCGCAAAAGTGCTGACCCACCCTCACGCGCGCTCTCTTGCCACGCTCGATTCGTTTATTCACCTCTCGGCGGTGAATAAATGAGCGGATGTATTTATACGCAGGCGAGAGAGGGTACGATGCGCACCGGTTAGCACGTCGTGCTACGAACCCGGCGACCCGAGTTCGATTCCCGCTCACGGCAAGCACCGGTGACGATAATCCAAACTGGTCATGGGCCTCCTCTAGGTCGACTTCGTCTCAAATGAGTACCTGGTGTGGTGTGTAAACATCACCACTGGGAGGGACAAAGGCGGTTGGGCGTGGTGCTGGCCACCCACCCCCTCGTGTGCCATGCCAGCCTTCATAGGTGCTCGCCAACAGGCTATATGGGGGATCTTTGATTTTTATTTCGTCCAGCCATGCGATGGCGTCGCCACGATCGGCAATTTTGAGCACTTAAATCGATGGGTGCGCGGCCACATCATCCCTGCAGGGTCGATAAAATAAGGAACCACTTTGTGTGACGGCACCAGCGATTGCGCTCTTCATAGAACTGTGCCCAGCACGTTGTGAAGGTGGAACTTCCACGACTGGCTCAGGGCAAAGCAGCAGAGAAGAGCGCCGTCCTGAAGCTTTGATCGAGCAACACTCACATGCAAATATCCTGTGTTCTCAATAAAGACTGCGCCCGCAAGTACTGTAAGCGAGCACACATTAAGGATGGCACGGCACACAAGCGGTAGTATGGATAAAACCTGCTCTTTGGGTCTTTCGGTAAAGTCACGTAGATAGGTTCAAAGAAAATAAAAAAACTATGACGTTTCGATCGCAACACAAGCGGTCGTCCCTAGGAAAAGGGGGTTAGCTTCTAAAGGCAAACTGTTTATAAAGGTTTGAAATGGGCATAGCCCAAATGTCTGCAGCATGGGCGGGGCAGCTGATGTTAATGTCAGTGATGGGCAGCGACCGCAAAGGCGGTGAGTTTTCCACCAATTAAAGGGCTGCCAGGTAAAAATTAGAATGCTAATGGAAGATCGCTGAGCGGCCTCAACAGCGAGCGCGCTGAGGTGGCTATGTTAATGTGAGAGATTAGCATGTTAATGTGAGAGATTAGCATGTTAATATCAAATTGGAGAGCCGAAAATAACAACTAACATCGGAAGGTGTTTCAGGATGGGAACATCACAGCCAGTTCTGACTTAAACTGGTTTATAACGTCCTTCCAGTGATTGCTGAGTTTGTACCGATCTTCTGTGTATATGGATGGTTTCATGAACGAATCTTTGTTAATAGCCAGTGGCTTTGCAAAGTACCTTGGTCTTAGAGAAATCAATTTCGTGTGAGCTCACCGCATTAAAACAATGATCAGCCACGGCCAAGGTATTGGTCCTACCTTGTTAAAGATCTGCCTTATGTTCACACACACGGTCAAAGACATGTCGCTTAGTTTCCCCAATGTAACTACTGCCGCAGACACAGCTTAGTTTGTAGACACCGGGGTATTGAATGCCAGGCATCACATCCTTCAGAGATGGGATCAGATCACGAGTTTTATGTACTGTGTTGAATCGAACCTGGATATTGTGTTTGCTCAATATTTTGGAAATCTTTTTGGTGACCCCTGCTATGTATGGCAAGGTGATGGTTTTGATTGGGTCCTCAGATGGTTCTTTCCCAACGGTTGGGGTGATAGCTTTACGGATTGTGTAGTCTGAATATCCATTCATCTTGAGAGCTTGGTGTACGTGATCCAGTTCACTGGCTCGGTGGTGATGGTCGGAAATAATATCGAGCTCTATGGTGTAGAGTTTTGATGATGGAATTCTTCTGGATGGATGGTGGTGGGAGTCAGGTTTTAGGTAGGCATCCGTATGGGTGGCTTTCCTGTAGAGAGTGTCCTATTGAGCCATCTTACCTTACAAGGTTGCGTCTGTCTCCCCAATGCTGATGGTTCACACACCACAGCAGTTAACTCATTTAGTGCTGAGTCGACTTAAAGGCTCAAAACGGGATTTTATTGTCGCTTGTTGATTATGTTATCCTCGGTTTGGGATTCGAACCAAGTTATGTCGTAGCGTGCAGACCACTGCATCTTCACTCCCCCAAGCAGACACGAGCACACACCCACACATACCCACGCACAAAAAAGACAAAGATCCCCCCATATAGCCTGAACGGA